AAACTTTCTCCTAAACATTATATTGTCATAGTCTGCTACAACAATTTTCCATTTGATCTCCCGATGCAATTTGCAAAAAATTCCTTTGTCGAATCATGAAGATCACTTGCCCATCCAGCGTTCGTACCGATTTGATATTCACTCGTATTTTGAGTGCATTTCTTGGACATTCCTTACGTACCGATTTGGTGTTGTTCTTACTTTTAGTGCATGAGTGCATTTCTGAGATATTTATAGAAATGATTTACGCTAACCGATGTTTTAATAATATGATCTTACATGAATGAAAAACATTGGTAAATGTTTACCTAAAAGACTGTTTCAAAGAAAACTATGACAAAATATCTCTGAAATTTCGTAAGTGTGCTATATTCCTGTTTTGTACTGGAATGGTTACTATGACATAGAAGAATAATAATATTGGTGTACGGTTTGACTTACTATTTTTCAGATTTCGCTCGACTTCCAAACGTCCATTTGGTACCAGCTATCAGTTGTCCTATCGTGATTTAACATTTTCAATAAACTTAAATGAAACCATTCTACCTTGCATTAAGTAATTAGCCTGAATCACCATTGATTTTTATTTTGACTACTGTGGCGTTCGTTTTGAGTGGACTAGTATGTCCAGTGCGGAAGATATAGCCCCCTCTCTGTTGTACTGTTGTATGATTGTTCTTCTTTTCTTCTAATTAAAACAAAAATTATATTTGTCTCCTACGATATCATGAAAAAGTAAAAAATGAATTTTGTTCTGTATCTGAATTTTTAAAGATGAATAAATATTTCCTTAAATAAAAATATACTTATAAATACAACAAAAAATCATGCCACAAAATGTATCTAATAACATTTTGATACAGGAAGACAAATGTCGTATTCATAAAACGATGTGAATAACTTTAAAGTTGCTCGTTTTGATTGGAGTTTCCTAATACAGCGAAAGATAAATAATCTTACATTTACGGAAGTTCTATTTTAATCTTATTTGTCGAATCTCTCTATTTTATTCAACCCCACGAGATTTTCTTGAAAACTAAACAAGTTATTTTTTTTTTGTATCGAAACTGATGACTCAGTGGTTTATTCGTGTAGCTATACATTTACTTCCTTGAAACTTTTGTATTAATGATCAAAAAGTCTAACATATTGACTCTTAGAAAGATAGTTATACTTTTCTTTGAATGAAATAAAATTTTGAAATTTTGTATGTCGTCAGCTACTGTAGTTGAACCGGTGAGCTTACTTTTCTCGTCCTTGGTTGTTTTTTCTAGGAACAAAGTTAGAATTAATCAATTTATTTATCTATACATTTATTTCCTTTTATTTATTATCGTATTGTGTACTAAACAAAAACATAGTATTTTATTTGAAAACTTAGCTAGTATGACAAAATTGGCAACGAGGAAGGGTTTTCTAGGAACACATATGATGTGCAGTTACATCGGTAACATATATTAATATGTTGATATTATAATGGCACTTCAACGATATTCAAAGATGAATAAAAGGATAAAAGCGAGTTAATTAAGACAATAACTGTTTTCAAGTATTGAAAATTTACTCTAATTTGAAATGAGGTAGAACTTTACGAAGGAAACTTTAATCTGAAAATATTTTATGTCTTTTTAATGCATGTTAAAAAAAAGAACAATTAAAAAATATACGACGCGGATAAATGTTCACGACAAGTATGGATCCAACAATCATGTGTACAGTTTAAATCGCAATATGTTATATTTTCATTTTACACAATTAGTATATCAATAGTGATAACACTTTTTTTTTCATTTATATCTAGTGTATCTAGAACAACACAATGTAAATGCGAATCCAATGAAGGATTTGGAGGATATCGGATTACTTCTTCATTAATTCAAGACTTGAATAATTCAAGAAATAATGTATGAAATGAAATCGGCCGTAGGGGAAAACCCGTAAATGTGGTTATGCAAAACGATACAAACCACCGCCATTTGTACTATTTAATTAGTATAGTAATTTCCCTATGGTAACAGATGTAACAAACGTTACACTAAGGAAATTAGTGTGAACGAGAAGCCTGACCCCCCCACTGACACTAGGCCATTTCGATGAAACTTCCCCGTTTGTTCAGAGGATAAAAAATTCAAAACTGATATCTGTAATTAACTGACCGCTTTGGTAAACAATAGAAAGTCATTCATAGAAGAAAACCTAACATCCCCATGATACCACACTGAAATTATTGTAGCATACATGTATATGATCTAAAGTAGTAATTTTGGGTCATAACCCCCTGTCATCTTGCCAGATCGCCTCTACATGAACACGACGACAACTGGTTGATAAACATAATCTTGAATTCAATCATAGATATGTAAAAAGTAAAATACCACAAATACCAAACTCAAAGGAAAATTCAAAATGGAAAGTCCCTTATCAAATGGCAATTTCAAAAGCTCAAACACATCGAACGAATGGAAAACGACTGTCAGATTCCTGACATGGTACAGACATTTCCTTATGTAGACAATGGTGGATTGAGCCTGGTTTTATAGCTAGCTAAACGCATTAGAAGTATCCTTTTGATTCGCATACATATATATACGTGTATGAGCAGTGCAATTCTAAAAAAAGCAGTAGAGTTCTTTAAAAAAAGAAAGTAAAGTGGATGTCATAAAAAGAGCACTGTATGTTCTTAATTAGTACAAGCATCTCAAATAAAACAGTTCCATCCCAATATATGCCTGAAGTCATGAAAACGCAATAATGGTTAAAGAGGGGCGTAAAGGGGGATATCTGCACGGAAGAACGCGAAATAAAATTGCCATTTCACGATGAACGAACAATTAAAAATTTCTTGCAAGTTGATCTTTTTACCGATTTCACGAAACACGGTGAATAACGAACCTTTTTCACGGCTGCACGTGAAATAAAAATGACAAAACACGTTGCACGAAAAAAACCCTTTACCACCCTCGTTAAACTTCCCAAAAAACCTGGTACAACCACATACAGGAATATATTTATATTTAGACCCCTCTACCACGAAACTGTTTTACATGCACACGTATAAAAATTGCGGTTTTTATCCAACGCAATCATAGGTTTGAACGTTGTTTTCAATTTAGACTTGTTTATATTTTTTCGTTTGGGCTTGTATTATATTTTCCCTCGGGTTTATATGATCCGTTCATCCTATTTTTACTCTTTAAAATTCAAGAGTCTATCCAAAATTGAGGTAAATTATATGGCCTTCCAAATACCGTTTCGATCCCTAACATCACTGAAGAGACATTAATTGTCGAAATCCGGATATGGTGTACAAATTTTTGCACCTCATGTTTGTGGTATACCATCTTTCCCGCAAGTTTATTGTTTTCTGTTTGTTATCAAATTAATATTAAGATCCATTTTGTTAAATCTTATGATCAATTTATTTGGCAATCGTCAATGGCAGTCAGCAGGGTTTAAGAACATCAGTTGTTCGACCTGTTAGTCAAATGTGTTTTGTTAAAATATACTTTTTCACTCTTTTTGGTCTTTTGGAAATTGTTGTTTGTGCTGTATTTAGACCCCTCTACCACGAAATTGTTTTACATGCACACGTATAAAAATTGCGGTTTTTATCCAACGCAATCATAGGTTTGAACGTTGTTTTCAATTTAGGCTTGTTTATATATATATATGTATATATGTATAAAACGTCTGAATAAAAGTCAACGGTCTTTCCCACGAGGGCGCTGGATCGTTACGAGAAACGATACATATATACAATAAATAAATTATATAAACGCCTGAAAAGTGTACAAAACACCACCAATAACAAAAGAAAACTATAAATGTAATTATTTATAAATAAAAAAAAAAAAATTGTAATTATATCAGTTTAAATTGCTTGGTTCTATTCATTTTGGAGGGATGTAAAAGTACCCAGTCACGTTCAACTATTTAACCTTAGTCGAAATTAATTATTATATTTTTTAACTGCTATTTATTTTATGATGTTAAAATACACAGCCTCTGTCGTAATTACTCTACCGTTGTCAAATTTGAAATATTTACAAACTTAGATCGGTCAGTGCTGTTTATTTGGAATGTTTATTCACGCAATCGTTCTTGTAACTTTCGTCACATTTTAAATTTTAGAATTGTGCCAGTTCATATCGCACATTACTATTTTTATTTGAAGCATATCTTTGCAGTCTCTGTTGTAAATAGCTATATAACCTATGTCATGTTTAAAACTTTAAGAATTGTACAAGCGTCTAAACTATGATGTTCGGTTTAACTGTTTTATTGTATAAACTTCAAGATTGAAATATTTATAAATAATTACATTTGTAGTTTTCTTTTGTTATTGGTGTTGTTTTGTACACTTTTCAGGCGTTTATATATATATATTTCATTTCCGATAAGTCGAAAGTTAACATACTATGATAAATGATACTCCATTCTATCCGTAGACCGACTTCTCTGGGTGAATGTTTTGCCAGTTTTTTGCATCACCACTTACGATATACACGAAAAACATTTGAAAACAAAAACAGACAATACTTTCAATTTCCCAATTTCGGGGTAGGTAGGTTTGGTTTGAACATGCTCCTAATTCAAACTTGGGAAATTCTAAAAAGTGTTTTGGAGAAGTGACGTCATAGTAAAATAACGTTGCAAACACGGTACCAAAGGGACATTCAAACTCATAAGTCGAAAATAAACTGATAACGCCATGGCAAAAAAAAGGGACAAACTACAGCATGCAAAACACCAAATAGAAAACTAATGACTGAGCAACAAAAAACACTAAAAAAAAAAACGGTCAAAGTTAAGATTACAGAGAGGCGGTCGAGCATAAATATGAAATTTTTATTTTTACGACAAAGTAAACCGAACAACATTATATATTACATAACATTTTTATCGTATTATTGGATATTTTATGGACTTTGTATCCTTTCATTGCCATAAATATCATTATTGTTGGGGTCGGTTTTGTTAAATATATATTTATGTTTTAGATCCTTAAGGAAGATTGCTGGTGAGTTTCAAAATAATTAAGTTACAAAACAATTGTTATATTATGAAAAATATTTCCAAAAGAAGTAATATCATGCCAGAAATGTATACGTCATCGTGCTTGATTGTAAACTCTAATAAAACCTCTGGTTTCTGTTCAGTGTTTGTTGAAATGCTTTGGTTGTGAACTTTGACACTAACAAACACTATTGCATTTGCATTAGGGCCTTTTATAGCTTGCTATTTGATATCGGTTTTGCTGATTGTTTAATGTCATTTGTTGACCTATAATTGCTAGCTTCTATGTCATTTGTTCCCTGTCTGAAAATTAGCTCATTGGCAATCATACTACATCTTTTTATGCTGTGTCATGAACTGATATTCAGTTGACTTACAGATTCTCCTGTTGATTTAAATGGTAATTTCTTAAATATATGCTACATATTAAAAGGAAAGATATTAATCAAAATGATCATTGAGAACTTTTCATTTTATGTAGCAGCATTCAAGCAGGTCCTTTATATGGAGTATACTATATCTTTAAGTTGATAAGGAATGCCGGGCTTGAACTTGTATTAAGATTTTTGCTTACAATAAAACTGTTGCACCAAGGATTTTTAATGGAAAAATGATGTCATTTCTTCGAAAGTTTTATAGACGCCTTCATGAACTGGTTGATCATTGATGAATACGTTCCACTAGTGATAGCCACAAAACTGTCCTCTTTTCCATATTGGTGATAACAATTTATTCAATTCATCACCGGATATTCTTGTCACGAGCTACACGAAGGGTGTCACTAGTGAAGTAGGAACTGTTAAGCTTTTCAGAGCGACTGATGTCATACCTTGTTTTTGGTCTTGTACTAGATGTTCAATCTATATATTTTGTATAGTGTTTTGTAAACTTCTTTAATATTTTCTGTTCGAGTTTGACGTTTTTTCCCTATGATAGTCGTATTGGCTGTCTTTCTGTGAATTATGCTTTTTAATTGCCAGCCCTTTCCCGTCCCTCTAATATTTACCAAATTTATGTCTAGTTATTAAAGCTCAAAAACCGAATATTGGACATGTGAATAAATAAGAAAAGGTAAAGCAATAAAATCATTCAAAACAAACGCACACAGTTATTGTGAATGCATTGTCCTTTGCATGCTTACCTTAATATAAGTAGTGTTTTTCTTCATTAAATAAAGATACAAATACAATTCAAATCGAACAGAATATTTGTCTTAATAAGTTAGAATATACTTGAAAGCTATGTTTCAATTATGAGAAGAATATTGTTATATCACAAAATGTGTCTGTTTACTGAAGTTACTCGTCAACATTCCAATGTGTTAGTAAATATTTAAGTGAAGATGTGTTCAATTGATCTTTTCTTTACTACGGCCATATTTTATGAAAAAAATCGTCACTTGCAATTATCATGACACTTTGCCATTTGAAATAGATATCGTGTCTCCATTTTTACAGTTATACATACTAGTAATATATTTTCTTGATATGACACACCATATTAATCTATTTGAGACTTTCGTCATTTAAGTATATCTCCAGATCGCCTAAAATGATGATAATTTAATATTTTAGGTTCATGTATGAATGTTGTATGACAAAACAAATATACAATTCATCACTCAGAAAGATTAAGTCACATCGTATATTATTTTGTATGCGATAAATGGCACAAAGAAGCTTTTCTACATCGACATGTCAAGATCGGCCACCACGGAGACGTTCTTTATCCATAAATTTTTCAAGTTGTAAACAAAGAGGAAAAGATGAATACCATACAAAATCTAAATCATGCAGCACGGAGCCGAACATGATTCAGCAAAAACAGAGTTTTAGGCCAAACAGGAAATCAAGCAGGTGTGTCTTTTTATGTTGTAATGTTACACTACTGTCTCAGATTAAGGTGAAGGTTGGCGCCTGTTAAAACGTTTAAACCAGCTGCATTTTTATGCACATGTCCTAAGTCAGGAACTTGTTGATCAGTAGTTGTCGTTTGTTGGTATGGTTCATAAGTGTTTCTCGTTTCTCCTTTTTTATATAGATTAGACCATTGGTTTTCCTGTTTGAATTGTTTTACACTAGTCATTCAGGGACCCTTTATAGTTTGCTATTCGGTGTGAACCAAGACTCCGTGTTGAAAGCCGTACTTTGACCTATAATTGGTTACTTTTTATACATTGTGACTTGGAAGGAGAGTTGTCTCATTGGCACTCATACCACATCTTCTTATTTATATATACTAGTTTATTGGTTGGTTATTGTTCTAGTAAGGGATATAATGTTTTCTTGTCTGTACGTCTATCCAGTAGTTCGTTCGTCCGTTCGTTCTGTTCTTATCATGTTTTTGTTTAAGGTAGTTTACCATATAAATGTGTTCATCGATTTATTTACTTATGTTTTGATTTATAAAAAAACAAATTCAATGATAGTACCGATAAAAACCATATTCAAATGTTATTAATTCTGTACTATTTAATTCTCATAAGTGATTTATTGTATTCTTCAAAATTCGTATTTTATTTAAAGAAGCATATTTGCATTTAGACCAAAAACTATACAACAGACATTCATACAATTAGACTGAAAAATTTGAATCTAAACAACCGTAAAACATTAGTTAATAATTCTGTACTGGTTAATTCTAAGACGTGATTTATTGTAAACATCAACATTGTGTAAATTTTTAACTGTAAATTTTAATACATCTTCGGCTTTCAAATATTCGGCTTTGAGCGTTCCTAATGAAGTTAAAAAGGTCTTCGGACGCATGAAATCATTTAATATGTTGTTTTCATTTTTTAATACTGTAAAAATTTTAACATTGGTATCCTGTTTAAATTTTGTGTCATGTATATATATATATGGACCTTTTGGGTCTGAAATTGAGATCTTATCTAATCTAAATACAGTGTTAAAATGATATTCTTTAAGAATTAATTTATAAAAAGGATCGATAATTACACATGGATTGAATTATATTGACGTGCTTTACAAATAATATAACCTTCAAAAGTATTATTCGATATCCTGTTATTTACATGAATGTTGCAGGTAAAGCTTAACTTCAAAACAAACTCTTGTATCTCTGAACGAATTTAGTAAAAGTTTTAAGCCGTTTGTGGAATTGAAATTCCTTACTAATAATTTACAAGTTATGCATAAAAAAATCGTCTGTTTTGTGTCCAATGTCTGTCATGCTCGAAGCCAAAATATTTGAAAATCCAAAACATAATACAAACGATGATGGTGACTGCAGAATAAAAAGCAGGAAAACATATTTGTCTTCAAGATTGTATGAGCGAAAAAAATTTCATATTTCTTGATATTGTGTTATTACGCATTGCCAAATAACAAGAAAAATACTAAAAGCGTTGCGCTACAAGAAAATGTTGAACTATCAATGATAACAATGCAAAAGACGGCTTATTCCTAAGGCTAATTAGGTACACATGTATTAATTCCATAAACAACTGTCACAATTTAAAGCATCAAATGGCATGCTTTATGTCCATCAACAAACTCGTGTACCATATTCGAACAAGTGGATGTTGATGACACTGATATGAACAAAATCAATTATATTTTGAGCGTTAGCAAGGTCACAGTCCCCATTAAAACTAATATTTATTTAGATACATGTTTTGTGCTAGCAAGTCTTTGATCTAGCTCGTCAATTCCAAAAATCATTTTCATTAGGTATTGGTACAAAAGTTTTGGTATAACGAACTCCAATAAAAACCAATCGTTCTATCATGTGCTTTGAAAGGATGAATCAATTTCTCTTATACGTTGTGCATTCAAAGTGATTCTGTCTAGTGTGACATATTTTTTATAACCCATCCGTTATTAAGATTTGCTGCCAATCTTGTGAAAAATTATATCCTTGGTTTTCATGACATTTTGACAGTAACTGACCTAAGTACCTTATCCGATTAATTATTTTATCAATCCACTCTACAGAGATATATTTTAGGATTCTAACTATCTTGAAAGGATAAAATACCACAATGAACGGGTTAATATGATTGTTGATTTGTGAACTAACCACTGGTAAACATTTTTTAAGGTACAAATAGAAATTCTGTATTTGAATTTGAAAATAATAGAACCCGGTTACCCGACTGGAATGAACACAATATAATACTTCTTTTTTATAAATCAATACATATCTATGTATGTTATCTGTAAATGCCTTAATGATTATACATTTTGTCGCTTTGAAATACAGTAAACAACAAAAAACATGAAGTATTAAATGAATTTAGTATAGAGACATTTTAAAATGACATCAACCATTCCAATTCTATTTAAAGAAAGCTATCTGTAGCCGAATTAAGAAATACGATTTATTATGATCGCATTGTGTATGTTTATTTATAATTATACATGTGCATAGATGATACCATTGTGTTGTGGAATCATTTCAACCTAACTTATGTTTTATCTCTTATTACTAGGACGCTGTCAGATCTTAGAACATTTGACAACAATGAAGGGTTTTTGTGTGAAAAAGAACAAGAGTTTCAAGAGAAAAGAAAACTCTACATCCATACTGCTTTACAAAAATTGCTTAATACAGTATTAAAGGCGGATGATGTAAGCATGAATTATATGTGTCCTCCCCTCTGAAACATTTAACATCAATTTACGTTAACGTTTTTCCATGTTAGTAATGAAAAATATTCGTATACATTACCAATAATGAAAACAAATTTTCTTGACATTTTGAAACAAGTGCACCCTTTCGTGTAATTATAAAACGCAACTAAGGTTTATCAATTTACGTATTTTTATAACAAATTAGGAAAATGCTTAATCTCAAAATTGTAGCTTTAATGAATGAATCAAAAGATGAATGTTTATACTACATTCTACAAAACAGAGAAACGTATCATACAATAATTAATTAAAACGTAATAAACGATATATTTTATCTTACAGGTTCCACATATTGCATTGATGGGGTCAGGAGGAGGATACAGAGCTATGGTAGCCATGTCCGGGATCATTAATGCCCTCTACAATTCAAAAATTCTTGATTGCATCTTGTATACTGCTGTGTTGTCTGGCTCTTCCTGGTAAGACGTTTATCTCACGATTGATCAACTAGAGGAATATGTATGTTATAACAGGTAAAGCATAATGCACAAACTACGCCAAAGGTGGAGATCTCCAAAACAGAAATGCACATTATGTGCAAGACGGTCATTTAAGGGCATTAATTTCCAAATAAACAACCAGGTAAGAGTTTCGGTTGATATGAGTTATCATGCCTCGATGATAATTTTTCACATATAAATTTCAGTAACTTTAATGTTTTCAAGATGCAAGGCAAAACGTTAATTGAAAAATAAGTAAAATTAGTCTTTTAAGGACACAAACTCGTAAAAAGAGTTAATTTGATTTCATGCTGGTATATTAAAATACTTTGCATTGCATAATCGAGACGTAACAAGTTTTATCATAAAGCATTACTTGATAGGTACAATTTGTCAGCGACTCACTAGATACATGTTTTTTCTTGATTTCAGTTTTTATGATATTATACAAATAAAGCCTTTGTATGAGGTCGATAGAGGATATATCGACCTGAAAGAAGTATATTGACTGAAAACTGAAGTCGATATACTACTTTTGGTCGAAATATTGTCGTAGACCTCCTCCAAAGGCTATAATTATTAATTATTGTCAATATTCCTGAAATAAAGCAGAAATTTACTTGATTGATTGTAGTAGTAATGTCTGTTTTGCCCCCCCCCCCCCCCCCCCCCCCCCAAAAAAAAAATATATATGGCCATGCCCCGCCTCCTTTCATCTCGGGAGATGACGTCACCGGAAGTACAAAGACCAGACTATATTTGTTCATGACGCTAACATTCCGAAAACCTGAGTCATGCAACATCTAGTCATACCACGTTGACCTTTTTTGGTCACCATTCTATTATCATAATCATCAAAAGGTGAGTCATCGCACGTCCCCTACCTCAAAGTATCGTTCCTTATTTGGTCAACCATGGGAGATTAAGCTTCCAATACTATGAGTCATCGAGAGGCATATGATGTCACAGTCCAATACCATGAGTCATACCGAATGCACGCGCTCTACTTCAGGACGTGTCGACATTGTAGGTACGATCATTAAACAAGAGTATGTGTGCCTATTTGGAAAATTCAAAAATTCAAAAATTCAAAATTTCGAAAACTTAAAAAAAATTTAAAATTTAGAAATTAAAAAAAAAAAAAACAAAAAAAAACAAAAAGTAAAATTCAAAACTTTAAAAAATTCAAAAAATTCACAAAAATTCAAACATTCAAAAATCGAAAAAGAAAAAATCAATTTAAATTAAAATTAAATTCAAAATTAAAAAAAAAAATAAAAATTCTCAATAAAGAAAATGGATGGACAAAAAATCACTGGTTGAAACTGATCACCTTTTTTTAAGCGTCTATAAGAATGCCTGAAGCAACAATTGTAACTGAACGATGGATACATTTTACCTGTACGTATCGAGCGAGGATTGTCTTTCGCTTTTTGAAAATAACAACGGTGGCGCATTTACGATTCAACTTCACAAAAGCTACACATTTGACAGAGAATGGGAATGTGCACTGCTAGAGTTATCGTTTGTTCCAAAATTTCCAATACCAACGAGACGGGTCTACTTTTGCTCGGACTTTGGAATCGACACGTACGCCAGGGAAACGTCTCTGTCGATACTTCAATCGGCAGGGGTTTTGAACGAAGATATCGCGGATATCGTATATGAAAAACCAATTTACCTCAAAGTCACCAGAAACGAATTGCACGGAATCGAATTCGTCTTGAGGGATGATAATCTCAAAGTATGTCGCCCGAAGGATGACCACCTGTTTTGCTTGCTGCATTTTCTGAAGAAAACTTATAAGAGGAGATTGTATTCACATGCAGAAAAGGTGAACATGTTTCAGTGCAACTTATGTCGAAGCGTGTATGCTTGGCCACATGATCTACGAAGACATATGAAAAACAAACATGCGCAGCAGCAACAGCAGCAACAGCAGCAGCAGCAACAGAAGCAGCATCAGCAGCAGCAACAACAACAACAGCAGCAGCAGCAACAGCAACAGCAGTCGCTGCAACAGCAGCAGCAACAGCAGTCGCTGCAACAGCAGAAGCAACAGCAGCAGCATTAACAGCAGCAGCAGCAGCAGCATCAGCAGTAGGACCTTCCCCTGAAAGAGGAGCAAGAATTTTCTCAGCACCGAGATTGTGTTTTTAATCACCCGTTTACCATGATTGTATCTGGACCGACCTCTTGCGGAAAGACGTATTTTATGAAAAACATGCTACAACGAGTAAGGAGGATGTGCCATCCGGACCCAGAAAGAATCGTTTGGTTGTACAAGAGATGGCAGCCACTCTATGGAGAAATACAAAAAACAGTGCTTCCACGAGTGGTATTCCGGTCGATTTAGAAAGTGACGACTTTTTCGATCCCAACAAGAAGAATATGATCATTTTAGATGATCTGATGTCCACATCGGCTAAAGATTCAAGAATCAACGATCTATTTACGGAAGGCAGTCATCACAGAAATTTTTCGGTAATGGTTTTAAATCGAAACTTGTACTTTGGAAAGGACCCTACGCAGAGACGAAACTATCATTACCTCGTGCTCTTTAATTATCAAATAGATCGACAACACGTCATGACCCTAGGACAACAGATGTATGCGTCTAGGTCGGACTTCTTTCAACGGAAATTTGAAGAGGCAACGAGCAGACCCTACGGATTCCTCCTGGTTGATCTGAAACCCGGAACAGCAGAATCGTCAAGATTTCGAACTGATGTCTTGCAGACGGGCAATGGAGTCAACATCTCTGACGAAATGAAGGGCCATGATAGTTCAGAATCGTGAAGGGCAATGGAGTCGACACCTCTGAAGAAATGGACGTCGACGATAGTTCCGACACTGAAAGTACAGTGTCAGATATAATGGATGACAGAGGGGATCTAATAGCTTGTCGAGATTGCGGACTGGTCTTTGCAAACTATCGGGGTTAAGAGATCCATAATTGTCGAACGAACGATTCGCCTACCAATGTCTGGCGAGGCACTTGAGGGAATTTTGAGGGGAACGTCAGCCACCGTTTGCTGTTTCACGACTTACAAGCCTATGTGAGTGACAGACCTAAAACTTTCGTGGTCAACACGGACAACTGTAACTAACTAGGAAGGAACTCCTTGGGTGGCTTTTCATTTTCCCAAATCGGAACCGCCGGAGTTTTTTTACTCCCTAGGAGAGGCACCAGAGACATACCAACAACATTTTAGAAATGTTCTCATCGTTAACAGACCCCAGAACCGTTTTTCTCGATGTCCAATTCAACCCGACTTTTCGGAAACATGTGGACTATACTGCGCCTATTACATGAAAATGAGATGTCATAGTATCAAGATGGAAGATGTATTGAATGACTTTCCATCGGATGACCTGGGTGCCAACGATAGAAAACTCATTGCGTTATTTTCATTCTAAAAATTTGGTACACAATCGATTAGCTTTGATGTAATATTGATCTTAATAAAAGTTTTGCTCATATCATCTTTTTTTTTCTTTATTCCGTGTGTATGTGTGTAAACAACATAAAAGCCAACGTATTAGATTCAGACACATATTCTCATAGATCAGGTGAACATGTGTCGGGAGTGTCAGCTACTGGGTGTTTAACACTCGACATTAAGATCAGAGAATGAATTAACATCGGATAAAGAGACATGCAAAATACTCTTCCTGGCCTGTCAGCGAGCGAAAATGGTGTTTTGTGATTCATAATGACAAAATTAAGATTGAAATGAGGTTTGATCTTATGTAAATAAAAAAATATACAAGTCATGATATTCGAACATATATTGACAGCCTTGTTGAATTACACGTCTGTAGGTTTGATGTATAGAGACAGGGGAAGGTCTTGTTGCTGCTGCTTAGGCTGAGGCTGCTACTACTGCCATACAAAATATTTGTATTCCTCTTTCGGAGGAAGGCATGTTTTTCATAAAATACGTCTTTCCGCACGAGGTCGGTCCAGATACAATCATGGTAGATCAGTAAAAAGCAGGGATTTTAAATATTTAAATTTTTGTGAATTTTCGAATTTTTGAAATTTTTTATTTTTATTTTAATTGTTTAAAATTTTGATTTTAAAATTTTTAGTTTTAATTTTGATTTTTTTAATTTTTCAAATTTTCAAATTTTTGAATTTTCATTTTTGAGTTTTCATTTTTTGAATTTTTTTATTTAATTTTTTTTTTTTATTTTTAAATTTTAAAATATTTGAATTTTTTGAATTTTTGAATTTTCCAAATAAGGAGACATACTCTTGTTTAATGAACGTACCTACAATGTCGACACGTCCTGAAGTGGCGCGCGTGCATTCGGTATGACTGTGACATCATATGCCGCGCGATGACTCATAGTATTGGAAGCTAAATCTCCCATAGTTGAACTAATAAGGAACGATACTCTGAGGTTGGGGACGTGCGATGACCCACCTTCTGATGATTCATGGTAACGGAATGATGATCAAATAAGGTCAACGTGGTATGACTAGATGTTGCATGACTCAGGTTTTCGGAATGTTAGCGTCATGACCAAATATAGTCTGGTCTTTGTACTTCCTGTTGCGTCATCTCCCGAAATGAAAGGTGGCGATGCATGGCCATATATGGGTGCGCCTTAAAACGCCTTTCTTTTTTTGGGGGGAGAAAGGGGGGGGCTAAAACTGAACAGACATTACTACTGATTGTTATGATTGTGTCACATAGTATTGAGATTTATAGATTTCTGTTTTTAAATATTTTAAAAATAACTATGCATTATCACTTTTCCATCTGCCGTTTCCAGTCTACCTTTGAAAATACAGTTAAATATGTATCTCATTCTAAAGGAATCAAATTAAATAGATTACTGCATGATACAAAATAATATTTTAGAAAAGACATCTGAACTGTAAATTTACTGTGACATTTTTCCGAGTCTTAGTTTGCTTTGCGGGTGTTTCATATATAGCAAGGGACGCATACATTGTAGATAGATCCAGTTCCGCTACGTTTAAGTTCTTGCAATTCTTCATGTTTTTTTTTAAATATATATCTTTATTTGTATATTCAAAATGAATTTACAATATTTAAGCATCGTAAAGAGTTCACCAGTTTAGAGACATTACTCCTATGAGGAGTCTATTGATTGAATCAAGCATATTAATGTTTTTATTGTTGCTTTTGGATATCTGTAATAATTTTACAGATAAAAGACAAAAACAGTAAACTTGTTACCATTTTTTTTTTTCATTTTTAAGCAATAACTCATACAAAGATTTGTCTGATACTTTGGTCGAAATAGAAAATAGACGTATCTTTATTTTATAGACATTTTTATATCTTTTAAATTTGTCTATCTATCATGGTTTCAAGATATAAGGATGTACTCATGTCAGGTTTTGGAATTTTTGTCAGATGTTCGGACTCCTTGGGTTTTTTCATACGATACAGGGTAAAATATTTTTGCCCCATTTCACCCACTTTTCTTTATTTCATAGAAGACTTCAATAGGTCATACAATGGTCATTACCAAAATTAAAGCAGAATATAGATTTTTTTCTTACGATTTGAGACCCAAATAATGCCAATGCTAGATATAAGGTAAAAGTCCGAGTCAGCCTTTTCCCAGCATTTTTTAAAAATCAAATATCTCAAAAAAGGAGTTCCATTACCTATCAATATTTTTAGCTTATTTTGTTCCTAAACTAATGTTCTTCTGACTTACAGTATCAATTTTTTATTCTAGATTTTTTAAATTTCACCTCAGTACACCCATAAGACAATTATTTGCATTTAAGCCGCATGTCCAATTTTAGCTATTTTGTTTGGTTGATTGAAATACATATCACAAAATTTGTACTAAATTCTTTTAAGAAGTTAATTATTTGCTTTATAAGATAAGATTAGTATTATCCAGGTTAAATCTGTATATCTTTATTTCATAGGTTCATTACAACGCTATATTCGCATCCTGAATGGCCAAACATTGATCCTAAGTATATTCAAAAACAGTTGAAAACTGATATATCTAAAAACCCTAAAAGCATACCGCAAATATTGAGGTATAGTTGGGAATTCTTTTGTACAAAATGGAAAGGAAAGTCATGGAACTTTACAACCGATGTATTTGGACCAATGTTGGGAGATGTGCTTATACCAGAGGTAAGACTAATAATGATAAAATGAGATATTGTAAAGAGATAAATCATAAAAATAATATAAATCACTAGATGTATCAAAACTGCATATATTTATAATTAATTGAATTATCCTCAATGACATCTGTATGTAAAAGACATTTTTTTAAATGTCTTGCGGGCAAGCAACGGGCAGACAAAATTCGCACAATATATACATGTAAATGACAGATACTTATATAATAATGGAAATCAACTGAATTACACATGAATAAATAAATAACTCACATTATAATCGATATTATTAAAACATTACGTTGGAAAATGAAAAGAACACCCCGAAGCGCTTTTCTGGATTTACGTCCAGCAGGAACGCTCAAAGCCGAATATAAGAAAGCCAGGGTTGTATAAAAACCGAAACAATAGAAAAGCTTTATGCCCAAAAAGGATCTAAAATTAATAGCCAAATCCATCTACGTTCAACTTTGTCTGAGGGAGTTATTTTTCCAACTGTAATGATTTAAATACATTTTATCAATGTGAACTGATGCATTCATATTTTTCTTTTTTTTGGATATTGAATGTATTTTTGTAAAATTTTTCTGCTTATGATGTGATTTGTAAGATATGCATATTGGGTTAAATATTCAATTACTTGGATTAATTTTTAATAAAACAGTGTTCCTGTTTTAACTTTTTGATTATGGTAAACAATTATATCAATATGTGCGTCTCTTGTTGACCTTTCTTCTGCTTTTCTTTTCAAGCGTACAATTGTATGTACAACTACCTTATCTCACTCAAACCAGTTCATTATTCATTATTAACAAGTTGATAAGAGAACAACAATTAACCCGAGCGTGAACGAGAATTGTAACTAGCATTTTTACATGTTAAGTTTTAAAAAATAGAACAGAATTGTCAACATTAACCTTTCGTAATAACGTAGACCTTTCCTCATTGTTGTATGATAAATGTTATGAGGAGATGGCTTACCAGAATTTGTCCATGAATTAAAAGAATTATGGCATTAGAATGTATCACTTTTCAGTTTTGCTTCCTTTATAGAGGTTAAATTGTAAATGGAGCGAACAGAAAGATAAATTGTCAGAGGGTACTGTTCCACTTCCATTATTGTCTGCTATTCATGCCAAAGAGGAAAAGAATACGAAAGAGTTTCATGGTATGTAGACATAGTATTTTAGATCTGTATATTTATATAAAAGATTGGTAAACTAAAGTGTGTGGCTTTTGGTGTATTCAAATCCTTGTTTCTTTATAAAGTAGTGTTTCAGTAATGAGTAATGTGGCATGACTTTGTACAAGCACATATAGAATGCAGTGGTGTAAAAGCGCATAATCATCCCCTAACCAGGACCATTGTATAACACAACAAAAGAATAAACATTAAAATTCAGTTGGAAAGGAGATGGTTCATCAGATCCGCATATATGGTTTGCCACCATGAACATGCATGCACTATTTACCAACTAGCAATCCATCAATCATTCAATCAATGAATCATAATATACACAAAATAAATTATCATTCAAATAATATTCAACTAGATAATAAGTTGTTCGTACACTGAAGGGACTGACATTTCACATGCAGTGCTACCGACTAAATTGTAGTGAATAAGTTAGATAATATTCGTGCGCAAAAGAAGTGTTTTTTTAATTATTTTTGTTCAAGTATGAATTATTACCCCATCAGAAAATACCCATTGCATTGTCTCAAACTGAATGGGGATTAAATGTTTGTCTATAAGAAAACATCAATCATCAATAATAAATGATTTATTGACATGATGATTACGTAACAACAACAAAACTTGTAGACTATTTGTTGACTCAAAAGAGGGAACGTGGTGGGGGTATTTATTCTAGTTTGCAGTTTGTCACTGTACAACAATAAATTGTAGTATCATAAAATATTTTTTATTATATTTTTTTTCATTTTCAACAAGAATGGGTAGAGATTTCTCCATATGAAGTAAGCATTCAACATTATGGAGCGGCAATTGACATGACAAATTTTGGAAGCGATTTCGACAAAGGATTATTAATACGGCGAATCGCTGGAATGCCCATACAGCAATAACTTGTAGTATTATAGAATATCTTTTATTATATCGCTGAAATGACACTGTACAACAATAAATTGTAGTATTATAGAATATCTTTTATTATATCGCTGAAATGTCACTGTACAACAATAAATTGTAGTATTACAGAATATTTTTTTATTATATTTGTTCATTTTCAATCAGAATGGGTAGAGATTTCTCCATATGAAGTAAGCATTCAACATTATGGAGCTGCAATTGACATGACAAATTTTGGAAGCGAATTTGACGAAGGATTATTAACACGGCGAATCGCAGAAATGCCCCTTTTCGAGATAATGGGTGAGTAAGGATAGTAAGACAAAAGTCCTGAAAAGGGAGAGTTATTATATTCAAGAATGTTTTGTAACCAGTGTCGGACAAATTACGGATGTTCATGCTTTTTAAGATCTAGTTGGTTTATCAATGTTTTTGAGTACGGATATACGATTGTGACAAGGACTTATTATAAAATACAAAAAGTAATGTTTAAAGTCAATGAAAATATATCAATATGTATCACTGAGTAAAGCTTTGCCGATAAATGCATTTTCACCTTGTCATGCATTTTCCACAGACATTAAAGAATGTTCCTGAATATTTTGCATACACGGTACCTTGCTCAAATATAGCTTAAATGTTTAGGGAATGCGCTGTGGTACATTGGAATTTTTCATTATTTAAAACAGTCTTTTTACATTTTAACTCTATCTGGTCCTCAAAGTGCTTAGCAAAGAGAATCGACTACTGACATGTTCTTTTATTCACATTCAATATATGTAAAACAAAAATTGACCTTCAGAAAAATTTTCTTCTTATTCAAGGAGAATGAAAAAAAAACATCTGCCGGAAAACTGCTAAATTACAGGCCCTGAAAAAAAACACATATTGAATAAATTAAGGACCAAGCTGGTAATTTTCCTAGTGTATCTCTAACTGAGTTACGAGCAAATTATGTTTGGCATTACAAATTGTTATGCAATCTAGTTTGTCGCGATTTGATTTTGGTAAAAGTTATTGATGTCGATAATGTCTGTAATCATTTATTTATTTTCCCTACTTTCAGGTATATGTGGGAGTGCTTATACATTAACTCATGAAGAGTTGGCGAACAAAGGTAGGCACATTGATAAGTTCATGATCATCAATGAGAACACTTCTTTCTAGTTTTACTGACGCGACAAACCATATGTTATATTAACAACTAGTATGTCCCTCTGTTGCTTGATCTGTTTATAAATGTTATTAATTAAGTTGCACAGTTTCTTTGCTGTAGATTCTAGTTACTCCAAAACTGGCGCTTTAGAAGAATCGGTTGGTCCTTCCAGAAAAAATGAAGAATATGATATCGAATGCGATTCCTACCAGTCCACTAACAGTAACGAAAGTTACTTTCCTGAAAATGATGATGTATTTGATGAAGAAGAGGAAAAACATGAGCTTTATCAATCTAATATCTCAGAACCTAGTATGGAAGAAATGGAAGATTTGTTTAAAAGAATTTGCCAGATACACAATGAAGGGGGGCGTGTATTTGAAGAGAATAAAAACGGAAATGAGAAGAAAGATTCCAAGGCTGACATAGCAGAGGAAAATGCACATAGAGAACAACACAATGAAATCAGTTTTATGCATAGTTGTTCATTAGAAGGAGACGTGGAAATTGATGGTGCTTTTGACTATCCCAAAAATATTTTAATGGAACAGTAAGTGTTTTCTCCTTCTTAGTAAGATAATGTTTAAGAATGGAGTAGTTTCGTCCGATCTTGAGTCATGCTTGACCAAACTCCATCAATCTGACATAATTTACAGTTTTCTTGTGGGGTTAAAAACTCAAGATAACACTTACGTCGCTTTATTTGCTATTTGTTGATAACTTTTGCAAACTAGTAAATAAATTGTATGAAATTATTTTAGTTATAACACCCAATGAAGTTTTTTACAGTTTATTCTAATAATATTAATTTCCAACGCTTAAGCTACTATTCTTTCTGTGTATTGACAGGGTCTTGAAAACTAATGTGTTGTATATGTTATCTATGCGCATTCTTGTATGATAAAAGTAAAATAATCTTAATTTAAAACATTGACAAATAACTTCAAAGTGCTACATTTGTATCGTAAAAAAAGTATTGACTTGTAATCAAAATCATGCGGAAAGATTTAAAGGCTACAGAAAACTCTAAAATATTTTTGGTGTTATTTTCGTTTTATGATATGAATAAGAAAAGAATTTACTCTGTCAAATGTTTCCCTACTTACAGCTATCATCCGAATGTCTGTACCTCTTCAGACATTCCTAAGTTTACTTTACTAAATATATTATATACACAAATAGTTTTAGTTATAAATAAACGAAGATTTTTAGCAAACTTTAATGAGCCAAATCTGCTCAACGACATAATAATCAAAACACATCTAGAAGGCACAATATATTCTTCAAAGACATTGTGAAAGTTCTTCCTTCAACACAAAAATACTCAAAACAAACAAACCATTACGATATGATAAAACAATCGTTGACTTAGGACAGGCACTGGAATATGTGTCGAGAATAAACTCGTATTAAGCTCACCTGGACCAACAGATGTTTCTTTTACTTAGAGTGTTTGCATAAACTCATCGTCGGGTAAACTTTCGTTTCAAAAATATTCTCTTAAACCACTTGGTTGATTTAAAACAAACTTTTTTTATATGTTCCTTCTGGTGTTCAGTTTATAAAGCGAATCCGAGATTTTGGTGAGTCGACAAACATAGGGAAAAACGTTAACTTGTGTCTGATATCTTTAAAAAAAAATAAAGCAGTTTTAGTAAAACTAACACAGGTAACAACTAACACCAGATCAATTCTATCTGCGATCAAAATTTTGGACAAATAAGACAGCCCTTTTTGGATTTTGTATCCCTGAAAGGTACATTTTAGCAGTTATGTTTTGCTATTATCCTGGAAACTATAAAACGTTAAAAAGCTTAAATGACCATCGAAACAAAAAAATTACAAATAAAAACATCGCCGATATTATCCGGGGATTCCTCATAGTTATAACCCTTCGATAATGATTGTTTTAAGTTTTTGGCTAAAACTTTATTAAATATTGATAAACTGCAAATAACAAAAAGTATCAGCAAAATGAGATATACAAATAACTCTAACGACAAAATCGTCAGTTGACTACTATATAAACCTTTTAGGAGTTATTTTCCTCCAATGAAGATTTTTAACCTTTTGTTTTTTAAATATAGTCGAGAGAGAAAAACTGTAAATAGTTGAATTGATTAGCAAGACAAGATCTACAAATAAGTTTCATGGGACGAAATCGTAAGAGTTATTGATTTTAATAAATGACGATTTTACCCAATATATGTTTTTTTTTATATATAATCTCGAAAATTATTTAAAAAATATCAGTTTGACAAGATCTACAGAAAAGTCAGAATATCAGAAAGTGTCACTCAATTCTTCATACGAATTATTATCCTTTCAAAATGAGGTTTACTCGTTTTGTTGTGTTTTGGCGAAATATACAGCATACATAGAAATATAAAAGCAGAACAACAGATCAGCCATATATGATCATCAAATGAGCCACAAAACAAAAAATCGACTCACGATATGAGTTATTGTCATTGATTAACAGTATTTAGTCATTTTTATGTTTTTGCTTTTTATTCTATGAAACTTAAACAGTAACATGAAAACCTTTACCAGCATTATGTTTCTCAAATTAGTAAACATACTGAAATCAACAATCAAATTTTTAAATCAGTTGTGTTTTATGTCTGTAGTGAATGTTTACACAGTTTTGGCTGCTGGGTTCCAATTATTGCCACATTTACCAATTATGGCTGTTTGGGTTGTTCACCAAATTTTGTCAATATAACGGAACTGTAAACAACTGTCATACAAGTTTGAGGTTTACCTAGCTATAAAAGCAGGTTTAGATTTAGAGTTAGGCGTGTGTCAAAGATCAAACTTATTCGTTCAGTGTATATTTACTTGTTTTTGTGTATTGTCTTTTTGATCGAGTTAAGCCATTTCAATTGATATTTTATTGTGTGTCTTTTTATGTTGTAATGTTATACCTATACTGCATTTTTATGCACTTGTCCTAAGTCAGGAGCCTGTTGTTCAGTGGTTGTCGTTTGTTAGTGTGGTTAATAAGTGTTTCTCGTTTCTCGTTTTTTATATAGATTAGACCGTTGCTTTTCCTGTTTGAATTGTTTTACACTAGTCTTTTTTGTGCCCTTTATAGCTTGCTGTTCGGTGTGAGCCAAGGCTCTGTGTTGAAGGCTGTACATTGACCTATAACTGTTTACTTTTTACACATTGTGACTTGGATGGATCTTCTTATTTATATTAACCCACCCCTTTTCAGATGATGCCTTAACCAAGTCAGGAATAATATAGTTGTTTCCATTCGTTCTGTTGGTTAAAATAGTCGAGGGTTTGATTTTGTCTGTTGTTTGGACTTTCCCTATTTTTCAATTTACCTTGGAGTTCTGTATTTTTGTTAATATTTTTCTGATGACTCCGCCTGCCGACAAATATGACCGACGTGGCAAAAAATAGGACATAGTTGTAAAATGCAATTTGTGTCTATTATCTTGAAAACCGCTATATGTAGAGAAAATCTGACAGTGCAAACATGTTCAGAATGATAAGATCTACTTTATGTCTTTGACATCAAAACTGTCAGATGACACTTATAGGAGATATTGTCCTTAAACAACTATTTTTCCAATTTTTTTGGCATTTTTTGCCTATTATCCTGAAAATTATAATAGATAGATAGAAACTTTTACAGCAAAATAGAACACAAGATAAGATTTACAAATAAGCCAAGTTACCGAAATCGGTAGTCGACTCCTTGTTGGAGTTATTGCCACTTAATGACGATGTTTCACATTTGTTTTCACTTTTGACTATTATCTAGAAAAATATATAAGATTGATTGAAACTTTAAATAGAAACAATGATCATCAAGACAAGATCTACAAATAAGTCAAACATGATCGGAATTGTCTGTCGACACCTCATTGAAGTTATTGCCCTTTAATGACGATTTTTCCCAATGTTTTGCATTTTTGCCTATTATCTTGAAAACTATAAAAGATACACAGAAATTTTAAATAACAAAACTGATCAGCAAGATCAGATCTAAAAATTAGCTATATGGCTGAAATATTCGTTCAACTCGTATATTGATGTTACTGCCCTTTAATGATTTTTTACCATGTTTTTGGCATTTTCTGCCTATTATCTTGATTACTGTAATAGATAAATAGAAACTTTAAAAGAAAAAAGGATCAGCAGAATAATATTTACAAATATGTCAATGTGACTGAAATTGTCAGTTAACTCTTTTTAAAGTAATTCCCGTTTAATAATGATTTTTACTAAAAAGTGGTCATTGTTCAAGATGCAGATGAGCAACACAGGCTCTTTAGAACCTATAATAGTTTTGCTTTTGGCTGTTATCTTGAAAACTATAATAAATATTGAGAAACTGGGTGCTGCAGAAAATATCAACAGGATGAAAAGGTTTACAGATATAGATATAAGAAGATGTGGTATGAGTGCCAATGAGACAACTCTCCATCCATATAAGAAGATGTGGTATGAGTGCCAATGAGACAACTCCCCATCCAAGTCATAATCTGTAAAAATAAACCACTATAGGTCAAAGTACAGCCTTCAACACGGAACATTGGCTCACACCGAACAGCAAGCTATAAAGTGCCCCAAAAAGGACTAGTGTAAAACCATTCAAACAGGAAAACCAACGGTCTAATCTATATAAAAAACGAGAAACACTTATGAACCACATCAACAAACGACAACCACTGAACATCAGGTTCCTGACTTAGGACAGGTGCAAACAAATGCAGATATGTCAATATAACTGAAATTGTCAATTAACGTTTTATAAACGTTATTGCCCATAAATTATTATTTTCAAATTTTCGACTATTTTCTTAAAAAGAGAGACACATTGTTCAAGATGCAGGTGAGCGACACAGGCTCTTTTTAGCTTTTGGCCGTGATCTTGAAAACTATAATAAATATTGAGAATCTGTGTGCTGTAGAAAATATCAACAAGATGAAAAGGTTTACAGATATGTTCTGTTATCTTGAAAACTATAATGAATAAAGAGAAACTGTTACAAGAAAAATTTATCAGCAAGACAAGAACTACAAACATGTGATTGAAAAATCGTCAATTGACTTTCTTATCGAGATATTTGTACTTAAATGAAGTTATCAGTTCTAAAATACTAGTGGATCTCACCAAACCTAGTATATATTTTATTTAGTGTGTGAGAGATGTGTTAAAAGGATTTTTATGTTGCATATTTTTTCCAGGTTTGCGTTTCAGGCCTCTTAGAATCTTTAGTTTGATATCTCAACCGTTCTTTTTTATAATCTCGATCGATCAGTGAATTTTAAGTAACAGAAGATAGAAAAAAACAGGGAAAGTACTTAACCCTGTCATGGCTGTACAAAAGGTACGAATAAATCAACACGCAAGTGCAAATTAATAAACAATATGATACACTAGAAGGGATTAGTGAAGAATATCATGCAATGCTAGACAGACAAATATCCAAATATCGAAGTTTATCATATTTTGTTCTTTGTTTCCTATCACTATTGTTTCTTTTTTGTAGGTGCATGAAGACTAGACGTCATAGGGCGGCAATGGTTAATAACCCTTTTCGGAATGTATCTTTTGATGAAACAGATAGTTTCTGTTTGCAAGGAGATACAAGTTGTAAGCTTGATATTCTTAACTGTTTAGTGCAGAACTTTATCGGGTTAGAGCGACAAAAGATATGATTGCTTAATTTTTGGCGCATTGAATTAATTTTAAAAAATAGAGCCAGTATATGCTGTCAATATATTTTGTAGAAAAAGAACATTATATGAATGGTGCTTTGCTTGAATATTAAGTCATGGAAACTTAAGGACAATACATGCATAATTACTGGTTTAAAAATAAAATCTCGCTGTTTTCGTTGAAGATAGTATTACAAGGAACCATAACAAAACATTTATTAAGTTTCTGTAAGAACAGCTATACACTGATCATTACTTTTTGTGGAAATGAAAGATGCATGTGTGTTATGCGTTATTAAAACTTATATTAATACTGGTATGTTTTTGAAAGTGCTTGCAACACAGAGTGCACGGTGTATTTATAATTTGACGCAAACGTCATTTCAAATTTTTGACACGCTATGAAATTGATGAAAATTATTGACTCTTACGTACTAGTTTTGAATTTGAAGATATGGAATATAGGCTGAAAGCGCATGAGACATTAATTACATTAATTAAAAAAAATTAGGGTTGGGGGCGATATTGAATATTAGACAGAAGTTTTTTGTAGAAAGGCCAATGGCAGCACAATATTCATTATTTCTTTTGAATATGAAAATAGGGAGGTGTGATATGATTGCCATTGAAGAAACTGTCACAGAACAATGTGCAAAAGCGTGAATAGTTCAAGTTATTGTACGGCCTTCGACATTTAAACAAATCTACAACTCGCTGAAGTACACTCAACGATTGCGATTAAAAGATCATACTCGTCATGATTTCATTAATGACATCAAAGTTTCGTACTATGAGTGTTACTCTCTGCTAAATAAATGGCACAATTTTATACCGTAAACTTCACAAAAGTGGAACTATCTTGAGACCTACCTTTCAAATTTGTTTATTTTTATAAACTACGACTGATTGTGCTATTATCATTTTCAAGGATAAATCAATAACTACTATCGATCTTTTAACTACAATCTGCTAAAACTGTCTGAGTCAATCTCGGTGATCTCAATCAACAAGAATATTCATAATCACCAGGGTTCTAACATAATCAAGATACAGAACGTTATCAAAACCTATGAGTTTTAAAGTAAAATGTTGATATATCGGAAAATACACTTCACGCGTGTATGCATAAATTTACATTCACGCAATTAAAATATTATAATGTATATAAAAAACAGGTTTATTCAGATTAGTTATATTTTTCTCAGCTTCATTGAAAAATGACCTTGAGAAGTTATGTTTGATCGATGCTGGATTAGCGTTCAACTCTCCGTATCCACTTCTTTTCCAACCCGGTAGGGACGTAGACCTCATCCTGTCATTTGATTTTACAGACCGAAAAAAAGATTGCAATAGCCCTTTCAAGGTAATAGAATGTGATTTATACATGAAAGTATATTATAAATTCCTCCATATATTATATATATATAAACAAGTCTTAATTGAAAACAACGTTCAAACCTATGATTGATATTATTATTGATAATTTGTATAGCGATCAAGATTATTATTTCAGTTTGACTACCACATGTAAAGATAAGATTCATGTTACATCTTACTGATGAAGGATATTAGTTATCCGAAATATCTAACATTTGTTCGTGATTTTATTATTTTTTGGTGATGTTGTACCCTTTCAGACTTGTTATATATTATATTTTGTAGTGTACTGTATCATAATTATATGATCCATCGCCCCGTAAGATTTATCGTTGACTATTATTCTTTCATTTTACAATATATATATATATAAAGTGCCTAGAAAATCTTTTTAGGGATTCGAACTCATGCAAATTCCGCAAATTTACAGAACTAACATTGTTGGGCTGTTGTTTAGACGAATTATATATACAGAATGTATTTTCAGCCTTGTATCACCATCACTGCTGGTGATCCGATGGATAAAATCTGTTGTAGAGTCGTCACTGGTTCAGACGTACTTATATATATATATATATATATATATATTGCGGAATTTGCATGAGTTCGAATCCCGGCCAGGGAAGAACAAAAAATTTGCTTCCGCAAATTTACAGATCTAACATTGTTGGGTTGTTGTTTAGACGAATTATATATATATATATATATATATATATATATATAAGTGCCTATAAATAGCAGCACATGACATACAAATCTATGGGAGTGTGGATTAATCAGTACAGAGATTAATTCAATTACACAAATAAAATTATAGATTGCCTAACAATGTAATTTTAACACACTATTAAGTATGTAAATATAAGAATGTTTAAAATATTTACAAAATGATGAAAATAAACGCAATATTTCGCTAGACTAACTAGCTTTATCAAGCGTGCATCTATCCAGGTGAAATCGGATGTAAATGATAAGAAACTTTTGCAGCTCAATGTATATGTTGCACTTGAATTTAGCTGCCTTGAAAATAATACATAATTTGGATGAATTTCAAGATTTTTACAAAATTGGTAGTTGAAGTTAGCAACTTCCATTGGCCAATATTACAGGATAAAAAGGACGATGCTGTGTACTAATTATTCTTTATCTTTCCTGTATCTTTTCTCATCTTTTTCGTTAAGACCATCAGGTTCTAAAGTGTGGAGTTGGTGGATCCAAAAATTTTCTCTTCTCCTTCTCGCCGTGGTGTCCCACTCGGTGTTGACTTCTATTATTTGGAAAGTAACATTATCAAAAGAATGTTTCGTTGAACGAAGATGTCTTGTGAGAGGACAGTTTTTGTTGGTTTTCTACCATGAACGATGGTTATTTAGCCGAATATTAAATTTGTCCATTGTTTCTCCCACATACTGAATGCCACAAGTGTCACATGTTAATATATAAATTGAGTTCTCCGTTTTACAGTTGGAATTTGAGTAGATGGTATAATTTTGTTTAGTAACGGAGCTGATGAAAGAACTGCTTGTATTGGCAGCTTTACAACACAAGCAGTTCCTTCGACCACATTGTTTGTAGCAACCGGGAGATGAAGTAGGCTGCTTTGCTAATACAGATTACTATATGTATAAACGCCTAAAAAGTGTACACAACAACACCAATAACAAAAAAAGGAACTATAAATGTAATTATTTATAAATATTTCGGATAACAGATATCCTTCATCAGTAAATATGATTGTGATGTTGAATGAATCATATATCAGTCTACTTAAATTAAGCTATAACAATCTTGAAATTTATACAATAAAAAAGTCAAACCGAACATCAGGTAAGACGCTTGCACAATTCTAAATATGTGTTAAACACGACATAGGTTATATGACTAATTACAACAGAGAGTTCAAATATATGCTTTAAATAAAAATAATAATGTGCGATAAGAAAATTAACAACTTTGGCACCAAATGGGATAAATGAAAAGATGTAGTTCGACTCCATGCAGTGCTTCACATTGGGTTATATTACTTATTATTACAGTCTCTGTTTCTATTTCTTTACTTTACTCATCTCTAAAATCTGTTGAATATACCAATTTAAATTGCTTAATTTTTTGAGGGATGTAAAAGTGCCAAGCCACGTTCAACTAGTTAACCTTAGTCAAAATTTATTATCATATTTTAACGGCCGTTTGTTTGCGATGTTTAAATACGCAGACTCTGTTGTAACTACTCTACCGTTGTCAAATTTGAAATATTTACAAATTTAGATCGTTCAGTGCTGTTTATTTGGAATTCTTATTGACGCAATCGTTCTTGTAACATCATAACTGTCGTCACCGTCAAAGCTTTAGAATTGTGCTAGTTCATATCGCACATTATTATTTTTATTTAAAGCATATATTTGAACTCTCTGCTGTAATTAGTCATATAACCTATGTCGTGTTTAACACATATTTAGAATTGTGCAAGCGTCTTACCTGATGTTCGGTTTGACTTTTTTATTGTATAAATTTCAAGATTGTTATAGTTCAATTTAAGTAGACTGATATATGATTCATTCAACATCACAATCATATTTACTGATGAAGGATATCTGTTATCCGAAATATATATAAATAATTACATTTATAGTTCCTTTGTTTGTTATTGGTGTTGTTGTGTACACTTTTTAGGCGTTTATATAATTTATTTATTGTGTACATGTATCGTTACTCGTAACGATCCAGCGCCCTCGTGGGAAAAATCGTTGACTATTATTCAGACGTTTTATATATATATATATATATATATGTCTTAAAATGGGTAGTAATGATATTTCCCGATCTTATCATTATTTATACTATCATTGCCATCTTCGTTTATAATGAAATTTCGAAATACTTGTTCAAATCATTGTATTTTTAGCACAATGTTACTTTGTTATTTCTTTTCTGGAACTTTCTATAAAAAGTCTTTATCTTTTTAGTTGTTTTTTTTAAGAAAATGCCTGTACAATTCGTTTGATGAGTTTGAGCTTTTGATTTTGCCATTTGATTAGGGATTTTCCTTTTTGAATTTTCCTCGGAGTTCAGTATTTTTGTAATTTTACTTTTTGCACAGAAATCACCGATTACAATGTCAAATTGAGAAATATTTGAAAAAATATAAATGCACTTTCATCACACTTCATATTTCAAAATTGGTATATATGTATATGCTAAAACAATTGAGATAACCTGATGCAGAAAAGGTGTGTTTTAAAACTTTTAGACATTGCTAAGAGCAGAAGATTGGGCAAGAAAACAAGAGATTAAATTTCCAAAAATCAAAGTTGACAAGTATGAAGGCAAGAATGTGCAAGAACTGTACATTTTTGAAGATGAAAATGATCCCGAATGTCCTATTATCATGCATTTTGTATTAGTGAACAAAGATTTTAGAACTTATAAAAAACCAGGTAAGCAGTTATAAAATAATAACTTACACAAAACATTCCTAACAGAATGCTTTTTATCTAAATGCGCATACAACTAACAGTATACTTTAAACTAAAAATTCTATGAAAAACTGCTTTTGATCGATACACCTATATTCGATAATTGTAATTGCTAAGCATGTATTGTACATTTTTTTCACTTTAAAGAAAACAATAATAAAACAATTTTTGTGTTAATCACCAGTAATCAAAATTAACCGATTTATAATAAATATAGATACAAACGCACGCTGCTCCACAAAATATATTGATTGTTTTCCAAAATGCTAACTTTTTTCGCATATATAAAAAAAAAGTGGTGCCAATTTCACTGCTTATAACACGTATTGCACGATAGCAAATATTTGGAAAACCAAATGTAATTACATCATACAAGTGGAAAGTTTAGCTAGCTATAAAAACCAGTTTTAATCTATAATTGTCTTTAGAAAATGCCTGTTCCAAATCAGGAATATAACAGTTGTTTTCAATTCGTTCCGTTGGTTGAAATAGTCGATCGTTAGATATAGTCAGGTTTTATGGATTTTCCCCTTTTTCATTTTACCTTCGAGTTCGGTACTTTTGTTTATACTTTTTATATACCATGTGATATAAAAGGGTAATAACAAAATTAGATTAGATTGCCCAATCTACGATAAAACGCAATTAGTATTCATGATAAGAGCAAAAGATAATAACGCCTGAGAAGAAATAAACAGTTCAGAAGATAAATGGAAAAAAAACATATTTTCTCGACTTGAGAACTGTAAATAGTAATAGTATCATGTAAATCAAACACGTATCAAAATAATGAGTTAACGTCATAGAAATAAAACAAAATTAAAAGTTAACTGATGAAGCCATGTATCGTAAGGTTTCATTTTTTCTTCGGTTTTCTGGTTCATTTGATATTTGTATATTAATATTATAAATAATAATAAATCATTTATAATTTTAGGAGTCAGACGAAGGGAAAGTGAAAAACAGTTCGTTAACTTCACTATATATGATGATCAGAAAACATTTCACTGCACCAACTTCCAGTACAGCGAGGAAAACTTTGACAGATTGTCACAGCTTTCTGAATTCATAGTTCTAAATAACATTGCTCATATCGAGGCCTGTATAAGCAAAAGCATCCAAAATAAACAGAATAGGATACAGCCTGGCCGACAAAAGCATCCTTCGTCTCCTGTATAACTTTTGTCTACTTGTATGGAAAAGGACAAATGTCATAATTATATTCATACCCTTTTTACACATTTATGTTGTTCAATATGACATCTTTTTTATTTGTCCTAGTAATGCCCCATTTCGTTGAATGTTTCAGATTGTGTATGAGCTTTTGTGTACATATTCATTTAACATTTTAGGGCGTTTTTACTTTATATAACAAATGGTTTTGAACATTTAAATATTCTTTCATGATTCAAACTGTCGAATACAACAAAGGTCACTGGAAATTTTTAGTATCTTATTATGACGACAGGTGGCTATCATTTTACTGCTTTTGACGTAGTCTGCGTAATTACCAGAAGATTTTGTCGACATATGACTTAGTAGCTATATATCGATTTCGATATCGAATGGTTTAAACAAAATAGTTTAGTTTAAGTATTGCTGTTAAAATTAAATTAATTGCATTTCCATTAAGATTATGAGGTATGTTAAAAAAAGTACGTTTCGTATTTTGTTACAGAATGGCGATAAATATCATAGACAGTAACTATCCAATTATATCAACAGACAACAGAATAGCGAAAGGAAAAGTAGCTGATATTCGTATGAACTGCAAACATCCAGAACGAACGAAAAAACCTCTGTATTCCCATACATTTTGACCTACAATCCATGAAATAATGAAACATATAATATTATTTATACAAATTTACCAACTTATTTCGTCAAGAATGAGAAGAGCCTTATTAGATAAACATATAATCAAAAGTAAGCGACAACCGAAATCTTTGAAAAAATTAAACCAATGCTCGGTTGCAAAGAAATAAAAATATATATATATATAAAGGTAAAACAAATTCTCCAGTAATGCTTAGAACTATGTATATGAAATTGGAAATAAAATAAAGATAAAAATAAACACAAATGTTAAAAGTCTATCGCTTAAATCCTTCATTTAACTTATTTAAACGTTGTTAAGCGTTTCAATGACGTTATGTCATCGTTCCAATATAGGCAAATGGACGTTGCAAACTAACCTTTCTACGACTATAGCGTTCGTACATCAAACGAAAAATCTCGAACGTCTTACAAATTTTTATGAAGCACAATTAGATCTGATTGACCAAAATGTATAATTAGTTGCAAAAGTTTCTTGTCTGCATCTGATTTCACATAAATAGATGCACAAATAAAATCTTAATCGTTTGTGTATACTTGATTTGTGTGTAGTTCAAGATATGTTAATTATATAACTCTAACTTTTCTACAAACGATGTTCGTTTATATGACATTCAAGATTTTCGAAAATTAGCATACCCAGCTGTTTATACTGATAAAATATTTTATTTATTTACTGTGTACAGTATCATTCACATTAACGATCTGACACTTTCGTAAGAATAATTGTTATCTATTATTTAGACGTTCTTTGTTTTATATAAATATATATATGAATATGTCACATATTCAAATATTTTTCTCTCCCTTAAAGTGGCATTAGCTGTAAAATTCATGTTCACCGATTTTACTTAAATTCTCATATTTGGTTTAAAACACACTAAAACGTATATTAAAAAAAAATATAAATTCTAAAATTACGATGCATGAACTCAATAATATGTTTTAGCATTTCGTCTGTATTTTAGTCTAGACGCCCTCTAATTTACCATTGAGGTGACGTCCGAAGACTGCCGACGGTCATATGACCCGATATAAACACAAATATAGATATAAATAGATAGTGAACACGTGCAATTGGATTTTTCTAAGTCTGTTTGATTTCATATTATAGGTTAAAAAAATATGTTAATCATCGTTTTCACCTGTGTGAGAATGAGCTCAAATGGTTTACCATTGTTTCACTTTCTATGTTGACATTCTTTTCCTTGTAATAGCGGAACACGCCTAGTTCATGCGTATCCTATCTCTAGCTAAGGGGTTGCATTGAAGGTCACATGAATACAAATTAAATCAGGTCGAATTTTTAACTTGCAAGTGAAAAATTCATCAGCGATGTTTTCGTAGCTTATTTTGACAAAATTTAACCAGAATGACTTCTAAAAGCGAAGAGTTATTTCAATTTTTGACTTTCATAAATGAGTGAACCAAAAAAAAATATCATATTTTTTTATTTTTATTTCTCGTAGCTAATGCCCCTTTAACGGTTAGCTACTAATATTGTGTAAATAATGTGCGATATGTATCTATTTAAATATATTTTGTGTACATTTTTTTTCTTTTTAAAAAATGATAGTGTCTATGTTATCCTTTACTTTGTGTAGATTGCATATTTCTGTTCAAGAAATTAGAATGTAACGCCAACGAAAGGGTGTGCTAGTTTTCATTTAAACTGCCCGGTCCAATAATTGGATACGAAAAAACATTTCTTCAGCATTCTCAAAAAAAAGAAAGATAAAGGTAAATCCAAAATTAGAATATAAATAAATGCTGAAAAAAATCTGGTAAAAATCAGATTGCATATGAAAAGATTTGTACAGTACTGAATCCTAGTTTAAGCTAATTTTGTTAATTAAAACGTCTGTTCAAAGAGATTAGCTATATATATAGGCTATATATTTGTTCAGAGTTTAAATTTTATATTTTTATATTTCTTCTGTTTGTAACAGATTTTGAATAGTTGTTATGTACCTGTGCAAACAATGAATTTATAAGTATTTGGATTTTAGATTGGTTGTTGTATAACACCTCAATGCTAAGAATTGCCTTAAGTGGATGTGGTTAGATTAAAGCCATAAAACTGTGCAGATATGACTACTTTAATACATTCTAATCAGTGCATTTGGTTGTATGGAAACACAAACGTGCATTAATCTTTGACTCGTAGCTTTACTTTACAGTATATTTCATACAACAACGTCAAAATATGACAGATAGACACGGATGTTTGCAATCTCTAAAACAAACTAAACGGACTGTCAATGCAAACAAAAAACTAGCACACTGACGTTAATCCCGAAAAATACTACATGCAATTATTAAATAGTTGAATACACAAGATGCGCATTTCGACAAACAGTATTTCTTCTGTGATACTTTATGCTCTGAAACAAACTGCGGACAAAGCTTCAAATAATATTGTCTTTGTATGTAAATCGTACTACTACGAGTGTCTTGTAAAAGAATTAGGAATAAATGAATACTCGGGTAATCCCACATACAAAGTATATCATTTTACAAGGATGAGATTTTGGCGAATCATAATTCCTTCATGGCTTCAATGAACATAACATTGAACAGCTAATCTGAGGACTTACCTTGTTTGTATTGGATACCTAAACTTCACAAAATTTCGTACAAACAACGGTACATTGCCGGCTCATCTGCATGATCTACAAAGGAATTGTCCATTAGATTGACAAAAATTCTGTCCGCAGTGAAAGAGGGTCTTCAGAAATACTGTAAAACTGTTTACTCGCGTAGTGGTATTAACAGTATGTGGATTTTTAAAAAACTCTAAAGAACTTCTTGATAATTTTAAATCTCGATCTTTCTCTGAAATTAATTCCATCAAAACTTTTGATTTTTCAACCCTGTATACCACCATTCTCCATGTGAAATTGAAAAATCGTCTAAAAGAAATAGTCCACAATGCTTTTCAATATAAAAATGGTAGCGTACGCTATAAATTTATTACTTTGGGATACCATACTGCATATTTTGTTAATAGTGAACAAAAAGGTAAAACATGCTACACAGAGGAACAAGTGATCAATATGATAGAGTTTCTTATTGACAACATATTTGTTGAATTTGGAGGTAGACTTTATCAACAAATTGTCGGCAGTGGGAACGAACTGTGTGCCTCTCCTTGCTGACCTCTTCTTATTTTCATATGAGTTGGAGTTCCTTCAGACACAAAAAAAAAAGAAGACCAAAGAAGCCAGATCATTTAATTTCACATTCAGATATATTGATGATGTTCTCTCCGTAAACAATCCAAACTTTTCTGATAGGGTTCCATTAATATATCCTCCATAACTAGAAATTAAAGAAAAAACAGACACGGTTTCCTGCGCCTCATTTTAGACTAATACCTCGAATTTGACATAGGCGGTCATCTCAGTACCTGAATCTATGACAAAAGAGACGATTTTAATTTTGAAATTATCAATTTCCCCCACCTTATAGTAGCAATATACAGACTTCACCTGCATATGGGATATACATTTCCCTACTCATTCGGTATTCAAGAGCTTGCAGCTGCTACTCATACTTTGTAAAACGTAACCAGTGTCTGAGCAGAAAGTTGATGAACCAGGGTAATGCCAAAGAACGTCTCGTCATTTTTTGAAAAAAATTCATCGGAAGATACCAAACTCTTGTTGATAAATATTCCATATCAACTTCACAAAAAATACATGATGGTCTTGATGTATAGATTCTAGAAACTGACGTTGTTTATCATCTTAATCACATGTTATAGTGTTTCTTGTATTTGTCTTTGTAAATTATTAACGTTTACTGTTTGGTCCATTTTTGGTAATATCTTTAAGAAGTGACTCGGTACTTGTATATCCCGCTATTGTGTTGTTGTGTTGTGGTTATGTTTTGTATTCTTGTGTTTCATTTTTGCGTATGTGTTTTGTCTTTATGCCATTTTGTTTTCTTTGTTGACATATTTGTTTGTTTTTATAGTAATTGAGATTATAAGACAATGTTGACTGATGTACTCCTATTTTTGACATTTTTAGCTATTATGTCTGTTTGTTTTGTTCACACATTGTTGTCAATATAAAAAATGGAACTTTATGGGACTGTCATAAAAAGTGAGAGGTTTACCTTGCTGTAAAACCAGATTTAATCCACCATTTTCTACATAAGGAAATGCCTGTACCAAGTCAGGAACATGACAGCTGTTTTCCAGTCGTTTGATGTGTTTTTTAGCTTTTGATTTTGCCAACTGTTAAGGGACTTTCCGTTTTGAATTTTCCTTGGAGTTCGGTATTTCTGTTGCTTTACTTTTTATAGAGCTGATATAACCAAAAAGACCAAAAGTAAAGTCGAACCAAGATAAGTAACACTATTCCATAGCCTATATTTAACACTCCGAAGCAGACTTGAACTATCATTGATGCAGTCATTTCTATCCACTTACTATTGATAAAAAATAAAAATTATTTGAAACACTAAGGTTTTTCTTCTCTCAGACATAAATTACAATAACCAGAATTCACATTCTTGATTTTTGTTGTTTTCAAAGCTCTTTACGTTCTTAATTGATTAAAAATAAACAGTTGTATTGTTTTGAACGTCACTGATTAGAATTATATATACGAAAAGTGTGTCTTGCGTACTAATATAAGACTGGTATTTTTTTATGGTATCTTTTCAGCGCCAGACACATAGTATTTAAGTTTAAGAAAGTAAAATATAAAATATAAAATCATATTTCAGTGCTGCTCCATTTACTGTAATTTATACTGAATCTTATATGAAGTGGAATAACTAATATAAGGACACAGGACAACGTTATTGCATTACATCAGGTAAAATATCAGTAACACGAACATGTGCTTGTCAATTCTCTATTTAACATTGAGATTGTCGTACAGTTCTTATTGGATTTTTTTGTCCATATATGTAGTTTGTGAGGCACAACTTCTGCGTTTTCAATGCACAGATTAAGTGCTATTGACATCTAGCAAAGAAAGCAACTCGAATTTGTTTTAGGGTTCGTCTTTAACAAGAAGTGAAGTATATAAAAATAAGAAGATATGGTATGATTGCCAATGAGACAACTCTCCACAAGAGACCAAACGACACAGAAATTAACAGCTATAGGTCACCGTACGGCGGGGTTAAACTATAAAAAAAAAGATATGGTATGTGTGCCAATGAGACAACAATCCATCCAAGTCACAATGTGTAAAAGGTAAACAATTATAGGTCAAAATACGGCCTTCAACACGGAGCCTTGGCTCACACCGAACATCAAGCTATAAAGGGCCCAAAAAAGACTAGTGTAAATCAATTCAAACAGGAAAACCAACGGTCTAATCTATATAAAAAACGAGAAACGAGAAACACTTATGAACCATACCAACAAACGACAAACACTGAACAAAAGGCTCCTGACTTAGGACAGGTGCATAAAAATGCAGCGGGTTTAAACGTTTTAACAGGCGCCAACCTTCACATTATAACATTACAACATAAAAAGACACACAATAAAATATCAATTGAAATGGCTTAACTCGATCAAAAAGACAATACACAAAAACAAGTAAATATACACTGAACGAATAAGTTTGATCTATGACACAATATAAATAGAAAAGATGTTTCAATGTCAAAAAGACAACTTTAACCTAGGACAAAATGGTGTTAATAAAGTAACGTGCACAGGTAAATTTAAATATAATAATTTTGTTGTTAGGAGAACAGAAACATTTTATACCAAATAAATTTGTTATTCATAGTACGAGTACAGAAGTGAAATTTGTTTTCGTCATACTAAATACTTATCAAAGGTGGTACATATTAAAAATAGTATGGCGAGATATAACACAAAATAAGGAAACATTGAATAACAGAAATACATTACAAATTGTGTCAACAGGTCAAATTAAAACGAAAGTACGATTTGAGAGTACTCGCAGTTACTGAAATCTATTTAAAAGCCACAACAATTAATAATAAAAAATCATGCATCAGAGACTTAAATCAATTAAAACACCTCCAGGGCAGGGATTTAGTGTTTTAACGCCATAGACAGTCAAAGAAGACATGACTTGTGTAATGCCAAAATAAAAGTAACGACAGGCAGTAGGATAGTTAGGATTTAACCTTGTAATAAATATGTATGATGTTATGAATAGACGAAACAATTTCTAAATAGAAAATATACGTAGATGTGTATATATACATCCCAAAAAAACATTCGAAAAGAATACAAATTAATTGTTTGATGACAAAATCGATGTTAGTGCCAATGATAACAATATTCAAAGATCTTATTACAACATTAATTAGATAGCCTTTACTAATAAGTTTGTTTAAAGGGTCGATAAGTTTACACGGATCACATAGTGATTTCTGCGCTTTTAGTGCAATATTACCGTAAAATTTAGGATGTGAAATACCATTTTTAAAAAGTTTTCTACAGGTACAGCCAAATTTAATAATCAAATCTTTGTATCTATGAAAGAATTAAGTAAATGTTTTAAGTAATTTATGGTAACGAAATCCCTGACTTAATAATTTACCAGTGATACATTGATTACGTTCGTTAAAATCTATGACATCACTACACACACGGGCATAACGAACAAATTGACATACATAAACGAATGTAGGACAGAAAGTCACAGGACAGAAAGTCACAGACAAAAAGTCACAGACAAAAAGTCACGGACAAAAAGTCACAGGACAAAATATAATATATAATAGATATAAGAATATGTGGTATGAGTGCCAATGAGACAACTCTCCATCCAAGTCACAATTTGTAAAAGTAAACCATTATAGGTCAAAGTACGGCCTTCAACACGGAGTCTTGGCTCACACCGAACTGCAAGCATATAAAGCAACTTTGTAATTAAAATGTATTTAATAAATTTCAATAATGATCAAAGAATTGTTAAGAAAACAAAATGTCAAAGTGACTTGGTACTTAAATGGCTTCATTGTGACAAGAAATATATCATTTGTATGGTTAAAGATCGTTAAAATATAATATTGTTTTCATTTATCAAGGCTAATGAACAATTTCCTAAACTGTAAAATGAATATATGAAATAAAAAG